CATAAAACTAGAGACCAAAGCAGGGCTCGAAAAAACAGAATTCTTTGCGCTTTTATGAATTTCTGAATTGCACATGTTGTACACATTACATTCAGACAAAGATATGAGACAGTCGATATACATTGAAATAATAATGTTTTCATACTATTGACTCATGTTCTTATTTCAATATATGCAATTTTGTCCTTAAAGATTCTGCAAGTAGTTGCTAACTTTTCGAGTTTTTTGATTACCGGGTTATGCCAGTGCTCAACACATCTTGTCTTTTCTTGGTAAGCAGGAAATGCATAATATTTGAGTTTTGGTTATCAGTATTGTTACTTAAACATTTCAGCTTTCATGAGTCCCCCAATAAGAAGGGGCAGGTTCTCCAATCTTTTTGTATCTAAATTTTGTTACGAGAAGGGTTTTTCAATCCCTGAACAGTTCAGGTACCGATGCTTCTTTCTCAACTTGTCTGTTGTGACTTATTAGTCACCTGGAACTTCATTCTAAGGGTTGGAAATTTAGCATAGTGTTGAGGCCCGCCTATTGAGAGTATCCTCCATACAAGACTCCTTGGATTGGAAGTCGGAGCAGGGACTGCATGAATAACAAATGATTTGAGAGGACGTGTGACGATTGGTGATATCAAGGAGAGAACGGAAATGATTTGAGAGATGGTGAGAATGGGACGAAAGACCGGTGGACAAAGAAAAATATAAGGAATCTTGGGAAATCATGCGCCGGCCCTACACTACAAAAATGCAATGGGCAGTGAACAGTCATGGATAGGCCAGGTGCAAGGATGAGAGTTCGATTATCAAGGGGAGATTTGGAAATTTAACCTCCACACTTAAATTCACTGTTGTTTCATATGCATATATCCAAGGCAAATCTCTGCTTTTCTTGTACTTCTATAAGAAAAGTTATCAATTTTGTCATTTAAGAATCCAAACAGAAGCATGTGATACAAATGGTACGGTATGAAAGACAGAAAAGAAAGAAAATATTATACTGTCCACTTGTATTTATTATTACTAACATGGGCTCCCCCAGGGCATGTTTCAGTAGTGCAAATGACAAGGGTGAGGTATACTCAGCCTTGTTGACAGCTGCAGTGGGAGAATTCGATTCCTGAAACATGGATTGTGACTCTTTGTGGGCACCAGTGTACAGACAGCTCTTGTTTCCTAATCTGCTGAGGCACAACTCGAGATTAATCTCTCTCACGATACTCCATGGGCGGGGCGGTGGGGGACTCTTGGGGTTCAACCCTTTTTTTTTTAAGGTTAATAAGCAAGTTTTCGATGATTGACGTCTGATTGGCAAACTGACAAGCTAATACGATGGGGGCGATGAGCAAGAATGTGATACTGCATTTAAAACTTCACAAAGGGCTTGATAGGTTCACAATGTTATAAAATTTTGACTTATATTTATTCTTTATACTGTATAATCGTCCTACTATACAAAGCCAATAATCTTCATTATAAGATTAATATTTTAATTCTTATATGGTCTAATTTGGTGTATCTAACACAACCTAAAGGTTCGTTTTAAGAAAAACTGCTTTCAGCATACTGAACTTGACAAAATTGGATAGTATTAAAGATTTATATATACATGCGCGAGCATAACACCGTTAAGAAGGAGCTATCATAATTCATAAGCCATTAGCTGAAGTGATACAAGAAGCCATTAAAATCCCCTCTCCCCTTACATTAGCATCTGGGAATGGGATATTAGGTAAATATATAAAGCTCAACACTTCTAATAAACTGGTCTTCACTGAACACAAAAATTTCATTACCAATACACTCCAATTCTATCCTACTATATGCTATTTCACTTTACAGCAAGAAGAATAACTGCTTTCCAAGACTAGCAATCACCATAATAACTTATTAAACCCAGAGTGCATGTCCGGATGCTGAATCGGGCAGACCTGAATAGTATAATTCTTCATTTTTAGCATTGACAAGTGCCATCCAATCTTCATTTTTTGCAGACAAAATGTTAACATCTTGCTCCTACGTTGGAGAAATGGCATTTAAATATCTTCATGGTTCTGCAGTAGAATCTGATTACCACGGCACAGAACGAACTCTCTGAAGGAAACGTGAAGGTCTTCGCTTTTCCATGACAGGGATCACGTTCTCCATTAGCTGCATGACAAATAATTAACCTTCAGTAACAGTCATTTCCTCCTGAAGTTTTAACATTATACTCCAAGGTGCTCTCCCCTTTGGTCGATATTTGCAGTAGAGAGACATTAACTTACGAAAAAATCAAGAGATATTCAAATATCATGCTATATTATGCTGTTTGCCTCTTTGACAGTTGACTAACAAAGGGGAAAAAAAAATTAAAAAATCCAAATCTAGGACCATGACTAGAGAAGTAAAATAACTTATTTTCAATTTTGATCAATAAATAATCACGTATGTCAAAACTTAATTATTTACTTACAAGTAAATTGAGTTAGTTAAGCTCAGCCAAACATGCTCCTAGATATGCTAAAAAATTTTGCACAACTTAAATAGACACACATGGTCCACTTATCCATGTTTGAAAGGGCAATAGCACAGGTTAATAATATTCTCCACGTTTTCCAGCAGTCATCAGAAGATCATATGAAGCTTATGTGCATACATATACTGTGTTGTTTATTACCCAACTTCCGCCCCAGTTAATTTCGCCCCTAATTTTCATCAACTTTCCACCCTGGTATTTCATTCCTTCTAGACCCACCTTCTGCAGACTTCTATCCTCCCAATTACCTCAGCACGTTTCCCATATCCTCTGCTTTACAATGTTTCACCAACATGCCAACGGTATTCAACTTCCTGATATCTGGATTACATTTATTTTCCACACGAACTAACTTTGACATCACCACAACAGTTCCTCTAAATTCTCATTTCTTCACACTCTCTCCTCATTCCTTAAATCCACGCTTTTCTTGCTTCCTTTGCATATAAAATTGAACAACAGCTATCACGCATCGAAAGCCTTATGCACCTCATTATGATACTTGAATGCATATCCCTGAATTTTGTTTTAAAAATAGACTATCAACCTCTTCTTCAACATAAAACAAAGAATCTTAAAAATTTCTGGAGACTTATAGTATCATGTTTGCCACATGATGAGGGGAAACAATACTTCGAATAAGAGACTTGATATGTATGAAAATATTGAATCATGTCCCATGAATATTAATTTACTGGAGATAGATCTACAAGATCATCAATGATAAAGACATATATGGATCAGATAGAGAATTATTCACATACTACATCTGTCCCCAGTGGAAAATGAAATGAAAACTTTAAGCTTAATTCTGTAAATAACCTGGCATTCTGCTAACGATTTGAATTGAAAAGACAACGCTATCTGCAAAAGGTAAACACCTCCCAGTTGCAACTTAATTATATTCAATGCATCCCCCACCCCACCCAAAAAGAAGAAAAACAGATGGAACACAACCTTAAAAGAGCAAATCCTTACTTCCAGTGCTGAGTAATATGTCAATTATTTCTCTATATTTCCTTCAAAACTCATTGTGGAAGTTGAAATAACACCAATTAGATTCTAAACTGATAAAAAACAACACCACAGCTCCTACACGCTACTCACAGAATGAATTCCTGTTGCCTGTCAAGATTAAGTCAAGCAACGTCTAGCACTCATGCAATCCACATATTTATGCAAACAATTCAGTTTCAAATTGAATTCACTAGGTAATTTTCAACAAACATTTCTAGCAGTGCATAGTATAACTTAATAATAGTGCAGGATTATTTCCTAGAATTAATTACATGTCTCGCTCATTAAAGTTGAAGCTTCTCGTATTAACTGAATAATCACAAATTTGTGCACATCCATTTTTCGTTAAAACTAACTGAAAGCCATCCAAATAGAGTAAATGAACTGTTGATTAAAAAAATTTCATGCAGCCTCTTGATAAGTGGGCATGTGAAAGTGCTCAGTCCAAGTATCATATCAACTTCATTATTTTTCACATTCAAAACTAAATAATGCCCCCATATGTGATGAGATTGACTACAAGACCATATGATGCATAGTGGAAAATAGATACCTGTTTAAGCCTCTCTTTTGTCCACTCCGCCTGGAATTGGAAATATATGAAAATCCACTCATAAGTTCGGAGAATTGAATCACACAAATACACTCAAGCATGAAGACTCTAGATATGTAATAGATACTTAAATACCCAATAATTTAAAATGGAAGACATCAATACCAGAAATCTAAGGATGTAACGTTGTATTACATTTACATAACAAAGGTTTGAAAATCAACAAAAGCTTAAGAAAATCTTTTAGCATAGAATATACTACTAATTTACTAGCTTTAGCCACCAAATACAGAAAAGCTTTTACACTAACGGTCAGGATCATATATGGTCACTTTCGTGGGAGGATGGAGGGGACACAATAGTTTAGATTTAAAAAGAATGATTCTTAAATTGTTATACAGCATGCTATGGCCCAGGCCATAAAAATTTGCTGCCTGACCACATGATATTACATCTCGAGTGAAGCTAAACAGCAAAAGAACCTAAAAGTTTATATTATTCGGCTCAAATCAGAGCGTTCCAGCAACAGAAACCATGCAAGTTATATTCAACAAAAAAAAAGTAATTAAGTAGTACTTTAAGGTCAATAACTTCATTTATCCTATACTTATGTCTATTATCAGTTAAATAGGCAATCTTACCTTCCCAGCCACAAAAGATGATAGAAGAAAGTTGAGCATTAATTTATCTCAGATCGCGGAAGATAATTACTGATTTTTATTTATTTATTTGTTTTGTTTAAGAAACCAAAATGATGTAAAAAATCTTTGTTCCACTTAATAGAAGAAATATAAAAAATTAGATGCACAAGAGCATCTGATAGTATTATCAATGATTCAATTTAAAGTACAAACTTCATTTGCAGACCATAAGGTTTTCCTTTGAATACCATCATAAAAGCAAATTAACAAACACGTTAATTGATAGACATGATATATAAGTTTAAATTTTATAAGAAATCAGTTGAATGATGGTATTTATTTGTTTAGCCATCATGAAGAAACTAAAATCAAGAAATAGAATAATTATCTCATAATAGTATTAGATAAATGAGAAGTGATTACTGTGTACTTGCAGTATATGTGTACCGCTGAGCACACAAGGAAAGATGAAGTAAAGTTCCAGATAACAAAGTGAAAAGTTATTAAGTATTGACTTCATCTATACAAAATGAAGCGAAGTGATTTAAAAATTATGACATGATTTAGAACTTCAAATACAAGGCAAAGATTACGAGAACGTAAGAGACTGAAATCCAACTCTCATTATTCTTGCTTCCAATTATTTCCACTTTTGGTACCAATACCAAGGGACATGCAAGCATATGTATACAAAATCTGCTTATAGTTACATGGCATGACACCAAAATGATAAAAGCACATTAAATGCTTTGAAAAGATGATGTTGAGGAGTTCCAAAATCAACACGTAAAGTTCTGTGAAACAACCAATGGTGAAGATATACATATTATGTATATGTACACCAGGAGCCTCGATTCACAAAGAGCCTGCTATCCTCATAGACAATAACAAAGGTAATACTTTGATGGGGTTGTAGGGGATCATGCCATGTGAAAACAGAGAAACTTGGGCTGTCGCAAGTTTTTAAAGGAAGCAGAAAACCAACAGCAAATCAAGGTGGATAAATAAAGATACCAACCAATCAAAGGCACCCAGAAAACTGTTAAAACTCAGAAGATATGAAACAATGAATTTTTAGACAAAAGAAGTCATTGTGATACAGTTTATTCTCCAAGTTACAAAAATTGTGGGTCACATGTTTAAGTTTAGTTAAATCAACTTCTACATTTGAACTCCAAAAATTAGCAGTCAGAACTCAGCAATTCAAAAAAAGTCCTGTAAACTTATATTCATGGAGTTGTCAAGATCTTCATTTTTCAAAGTACAAACTAGAGGCAATTTTAATTACCTTCTCTTTCAAAAGCTGCTCATTCTCTTCCTGAAGTCTCACTGCCATTGACTCCAATTCCACTTGATAGGCCTAAATCAGGCACAAAATTAATCAGAAACAAGAAAAATTCCAAAATGCCGCTAACCAATACTAAAAGAGAATGGAATTTCTTTTACCTGCTTTCTCTCTCTTGACCTTGCAGCTGACTCCCTATTCTTAATCATCCTCCTCTGCCTTTGTTGTGTCGCCTTATCCAACGGTTCTAACAAGCTCAAGCTCCTTGGCTTTTGTTGTGCCACCTTATCCAAAGGTTCCATCAAGCTCATGGTCCTCTTTCCTCTCCCTCTCCCGTTCCCAAAATCCCCAACATCCACTCCTATCTCTAACCCAGTCGCCATTCCCACCACAGGAGAATTTTCATGCCCATAAATCCCACCACTCATCATCTCCTCCTTCACCTCCACAGTCACTCCTGCCCCGGCACCACTGGCCTCACCCTCCACGGCCCCTGCCTTCACCAAAAAATCCTCCAGAGTCATCATCTCCTGCTTGGGCACCTGCTCGGTCTGCCTCTTCTTTCCAGCCACAATCTCCCTCCAGACATCATCAACCGTCTTCCTAATAGCACGAGGGGGCTCCACGTTCCCCACTTCGCAATCACTTATCGGAGTCACAGCTCCGGCAGCATCAAGCAACGTAATCTCCGCATTCAACAAAGTACTAGAACCTTCCCCCTCCGTAACCGGGTCAGAGTCCGAGCCCGTATCAGTATCCACATAAGAATTTCTCAAGAAATCAATCAACCTCGTAGAAGAACCCGAAGCACAACCAGAAAGTTTTCTCTTGAGATCTAAATTCCGCGACGGCACCAGCTTCGACGACGCCATTAATTAACAAAAAAATCCCAAAAAATATGACTATTAGTGGGATTTAATCAGAATCACCATCAGGTTGCCCCTTTCCATTATTTTTTTTCTGGGTATGTGCGTGCGAGTATGACAAAGAGTGCGGTAGTGATAACTGTGCGCGACAGTGTGCATGTGTTGACACTCAATAGGAATAGGCCTAGGGATTTGTATTTCTGGCGATTTTGTGATGAGGAGAGTGAGAGTAGTGGGAGAGATTTCGTTCTCTTTTGGGAGACAGTTCATACGTTTAAAAAAAAAAAAAAAAAAAAGATTGAACCCCAAACTTGAAGGCTCCTACCATCTCGTCTTTGGAGTTTTGTGAGGCAGGTAAATCTCGAAATGTATTTCAATAGGTCAGAAAACAAGAGCTGTCTGTACACTGCGCCTACAAGGAATCAAATTTCATGTCTCAAAAATCGAACCCCGACACTGCGACTGTCAACAAGATATGAGATAACATCACTTCTGTTCTCTGTACCACTCGGTTATGCTCGGGGGCACAGTTCATACGTTTGTGTGCACGTAGATTGTGGCTTTACTTAAAAGAGGAATAAAATAATTATGCACATTTACCAATAATTTTTCCATACTTTTCAACGATACATTTCCAAAAATCAATTTCACAAAATTTAGTTCACGTTTGAACCACATTCTAAGAAATGCATTTTTCATGTCAAATCAATGAGAAATGAGTATTTAAAAAATAAAAAAAAAATTTAAATTTACGTATAATATTATTTTATTGAAGAATATGTGATTAAAATGTGTCAAATCACTGTTCAAAAATGTATTTTTTTGAAAATAATATGGCTCAAACAAGCCCCATTCTCGAAATATTTCCACCAGATATCCACAAATTTAATGAACCTACAACCATTTTAATCAATAAAGTTCGATGAAACTCGCCATTTAAATTCTAATTTAAGCACTCACAATATCTTAGCCCAATAACATTAAACGTGGCCGATATGTCATATAGAGTGATACTTGAGCCACTAGATAGACTTTATTATGCTTAAAAATAAGTCAAGTTACTTGTAATTTCCTTTTTTCAACAAATCTACTTGTTCTATAAGAGCTTTTGGAAGGACGAAAACACAAGTGAAAGCTTTGCAAAATTATGTGTTTAATTCTATTTAAAATAAGTAAATTATTTTTTACTTAAAAAAAAAAAAAAAAAAAACCTTATTTTCGAGTTACAAGTCATATTTATTACTAGGAATTTTTTTGAATTATAACTTTTAAATTCAACCAAACAGTCTAATCTTGTTACCCTTGTTTGATCTCAAAACTTTAAAAAATATGATTCGTCAAATTCATTTTCAACCACTCATTTTATGATATTCATAATTTTTATCTACATTTCAATCATAAATTTTATCAACTTTTATCAAAATCTTATAAAAATTTGATTTTTTTAGCCAAACCAAACAAGGACATGTGTGACATTAAATATAAGGGGAAGTCCACTAAAAAAGGATATACCAGATTTATTTTAAATACCATCACTCAATCACCGTAGTCCATAGATTGTTGAAGTCACTGGAGCCCATAAATCTCATGACCATATTAGGAATCATTGAAGAGTATAAAGTCACCCCATTAATAGTTGATCTATTGACATCCAGTAAGAGTCTGTTTTGGAGTGATTTTGAGAATTGAATTTTTGACCGTTAGGAGAAAAGTGGGGTCCACCCGTAAGAGAAAAAGTCAAATATGACGGCTGGAATAATAAAATAACGATCAAAAAATTATTTTTTTTGGTGAAAAAATGGGGCCTAAACAGGCTCTAACTGTATTGAGGATTTTTTGTCATCATTGAATCCTGCATCTCTAGTGGTTTAAGTGCTAATAAATTTTGGCTCCCGTTTGGTCCCATTAATTTTTATTTTATTATATTTTATTTTTCTTTCTCTTATTTTTAACCACAAAATCTTCCATAAAATAATATTACACGAAAAACGGTTTTTACTATGAGTTATGTGCTTTTGTTTGTAATGTGGGCTCTTGTTGCTGCAATCCCATGTCAAGACCGTGGCCTTCAGACTAACTTTTCCATTACTAAGCAGTTCCTGTGGGCAGTTCCGATGCTCTCCCTCCATGAGAAGATTTTGGAAGTGTCGAAGAAACGAGACAGGAAAAATGCTTGTGGGTTGTTGAAGGAGATTCACGAGATTGAGATATGTGCACGGCACATGAACGAGTTGATCGATTCTGTCCAGTTCCCCTTGACAGAAGAAAAAGAGGGTGAAGCAAGACAGAGAGTAAAGGAGTTAGGTATGGTGTATGAATCCATAAAGGATGGATTGGATCCATTGGAGCGCCAGGTTAGAGAAGTGTTCCACAGAATAGTGCGCAGCAGGACTGAGGGTCTCAACTCTATTGGACGAGCAAATAGTCACGATTAATACCATTTGAACAGAGGAGATTCGTGTGAGCTTAACTGGAACTTCCTAATGTTCTATGAGTTTTGTTTTTCTTTGATTAAGGGAAGAAACAAATGATGGTAGGCAATTAGCCCAGAATAAAAGGGTTCAAAGAGATAATGTCTTTCATTTTCTCATAGTATGTTATGTAAAAGATGTGGAAAAGAATTGGATGTTCTCCGGTCCAATATATTATTGTTCATCCTTTATTGCCCTTAGATAATCAAAATTCAGAGTAAATTTGTATTTGTCTAATGTGAGAATTTTAGTTTTGCAAGATGGTAAATATTACTTCAATGCTTTTCTTTTTTCCTTGGCACATACAACCATAAAACTAGAGACCAAAGCAGGGCTCGAAAAAACAGAATTCTTTGCGCTTTTATGAATTTCTGAATTGCACATGTTGTACATATTACATTCAGACAAAGATATGAGACAGTCGATATACATTGAAATAATAATGTTTTCATACTATTGACTCATGTTCTTATTTCAATATATGCAATTTTGTCCTTAAAGATTCTGCAAGTAGTTGCTAACTTTACGAGTTTTTTGATTACCGGGTTATGCCAGTGCTCAACACATCTTGTCTTTTCTTGGTAAGCAGGAAGTGCATAATATTTGAGTTTTGGTTATCAGTATTGTTACCTAAACATTTCAGCTTTCATGAGTCCCCCAATAAGAAGGGGCGGGTTCTCCGATCTTTTTGTATCTAAATTTTGCTACGAGAAGGGTTTTTCAATCCCTGAACAGTTCAGTTACCGATGCTTCTTTCTCGACTTGTCTGTTTTGACTTATTAGTCACCAGGAACTTCATTCTAAGGGTTGGAAATTTTGCATAATGTTGATGCCGGCCTATTGAGAGTATCCTCCATTCAAGACTCCTTGGATTGGAAGTCGGAGCAGGGACTGCATGAATAACAAATGATTTGAGAGGACGTGTGACGATTTGTGATATCAAGGAGAGAACGGAAATGATTTGAGAGATGGTGAGAATGGGACGAAAGACCGTGGACGAAAAAAATATAAGGAATCTTGGGAAATCATGCGCCGGCCCTACACTACAAAAATGCAATGGGCAGTGGACAGTCATGGATAGACCAGGTGCAATGGGCTCGAAAAATGCAATGGGCAGTGGAGAGTTCGATTATCAAGGGGAGATTTGAAAATTTAACCTCCACACTTAAATTCACTGTTGTTTCATATACATATATCCAAGGCAAATCTCTGCTTTTCTTGTACTTCTATAAGAAAAGTAATCAATTTTGTCATTTAAGAATCCAAACAGAAGCATGTGATACAAATGGTACGGTATGAAAGACAGAAAAGAAAGAAAATATTATACTATCCACTTGTATTTATTATTACTAACATGGGCTCCCCCAGGGCATATTTCAGTAGTGCAAAGGACAAGGGTGAGGTATACTCAGTCTTGCTGGCAATCGCAATGTGAGAATTCGATTCCTGAAACATGGATTGGGACTCTTTGTGGGCACTAGTGTACAGACAGCTCTTGTTCCCTAGCCTATTGGGACACAACCCGAGATTAATCTCTCACAATGCTCCATGGGCAGGACGGTGGGGGACCCTTGGGGTTCAACCTTTTTTTTTTAAAGGTTAATAAGCAAGTTTTCAATGATTGACGTCTGATTGGCAAACTGACAAGCTAATACGATGGGGGCGATGAGCAAGAATGTGATACTGCATTTAAAACTTCACCAAGGGCTTGATAGGTTCACAATGTTATAAAAATTTTGACTTATATTTATTCTTTATACTGTATAATCGTCCTACCATACAAAGCCAATAATCTTCATTATAAGATTAATATTTTAATTCTTATATGGTCTAATTTGGTGTATCTAACACAACCTAAAGGTTCGTTTTAAGAAAAACTGCTTTCAGCATACTGAACTTGACAAAATTGGATAGTATTAAAGATTTATATATACGTGCACGCGCATAACACTGTCAAGGAGGAGCTATCATAATTCATAAGCCATTAGCTGAAGTGATACAAGAAGCCATTACAACCCCCTCTCCCCTTACATTAGCAACTGGGAATGGGATACTAGCTAAATATATAAAGCTCAACACTTCTAATTAAACTGGTCTTCACTGAACACAAAAATTTCATTACCAATACACTCCAATTCTATCCTACTATATGCTATTTCACTTTACAGCAAGAAGAATAACTGCTTTCCAAGACTAACAATCACCATAATAAGTTATTAAACCCAGAGTGCATGTCCGGATGCTGAATCGGGCAGACCTGAATGGTATAATTCTTCATTTTTAGCATTGACAAGTGCCATCCAATCTTCATTTTTTGCAGACAAAATGTTAACATCTTGCTCCTACGTTGGAGAAATGGCATTTAAATATCTTCATGGTTCTGCACTAGAATCTGATTACCACGGCACAGAACGAACTCTCTGAAGGAAACGTGAAGGTCTTCGCTTTTCCATGACAGGGATCACGTTCTCCATTAGCTGCATGACAAAAAATTAACCTTCAGTAACAGTCATTTCCTCCTGAAGTTTTAACATTATACTCCAAGGTGCTCTCTCCTTTGGTCGATATTTGTAGTAGAGAGACATTAACTTACGAAAAAATCAAGAGATATTCAAATATCATGCTATATTATGCAGTTTGCCTCTTGACAGTTGACTAACAAAGGGAAAAAAAAAATTAAAAAATCCAAATCTAAGACCATGACTAGAGAAGTAAAATAACTTATTTTCAATTTTGATCAATAAATAATCACGTATGTCAAAACTTAATTATTTACTTACAAGTAAATTGAGTTAGTTAAGCTCAGCCAAAAATGCTCCTAGATATGCTAAAAAAATTTGAACAACTTAAATAGAGACACATGGTCCACTTATCCATGTTTGAAAGGGCAATAGCACAGGTTAATAATATTCTCCACGTTATCCAGCAGTCATCAGAAGATCATATAAAGCTTATGTGCATACATATACTGTGTTGTTTATTACCCAACTTCCGCCCCAGTTAGTTTCGCCCCTAATTTTCATCAACTTTCCACCCTGGTATTTCATTCCTTCTAGACCCACCTTCTGCAGACTTCTATCCTCCCAACTACCTCAGCATGTTTCCCATATCCTCTGCTTTACAATGTTTCACCAACATGCCAACAGTATTCAACTTCCTGATATCTGGATTACATTTATTTTCCACACGAACTAACTTTGACATCACCACAACAGTTCCTCTAAATTCTCATTTCTTCACACTCTCCTCTCATTCCTTAAATCCACGCCTTTCTTGCTTCCTTTGCATATAAAATTGAACAACAGCTATCACGCATCGAAAGCCTTATGCCCCTTATTATGATACTTGAATGCATATCCCTGAATTTTGTTTTAAAAATAGACTATCAACCTCTTCTTCAACATAAAACAAAGAATCTTAAAAATTTCTGGAGACTTATAGTATCATGTTTGCCACATGATGAGGGGAAACAATACTTCAAATAAGAGACTGGATATGTATGAAAATATTGAATCATATCCCATGAATATTAATTTACTGGAGATAGATCTACAAGATCATCAATGATAAAGACATATATGGATCAGATAGAGAATTATTCACATACTACATCTGTACCCAGTGGAAAATGAAATGAAAACTTTAAGCTTAATTCTGTAAATAACCTAGCATTCTGCTAACGATTCGAATTGAAAAGACAATGCTATCTGCAAAAGGTAAACACCTCCCAGTTGCAACTTAATTATATTCAATGCATCCCCCACCCCACCGAAAAAGAAGAAAAACAGATGGAACACAACCTTAAAAGAGCAAATCCTTACTTCCAGTGCTGAGTAATATGTCAATTATTTCTCTATATTTCCTTCTAAACTCATTGTGGAAGTTGAAATAACACCAATTAGATTCTAAACTGATAAAAAAACACCACCACAGCTCCTACACGCTACTCACAGAATGAATTCCCGTTGCCTGTCAAGATTAAGTCAAGCAACGTCTAGCACTCATGCAATCCACATATTTATGCAAACAATTCAGTTTCAAATTGAATTCACTAGGTAATTTTCAACAAGCATTTCTAGCAGTGCATAGTATAACTTAATAATAGTGCAGGATTATTTCCTAGAACTAATTACATGTCTCGCTCATTAAAGTTGAAGTTTCTCGTATTAACTGAATAATCACAAATTCGTGCACATCCATTTTTCGTTAAAACTAACTGAAAGCCGTCCAAATAGAGTAAATGAACTGTTGATTAAAAAAATTTCATGCAGCCTCTTGATAAGTGGGCAAGTGAAAGTGCTCAGTACAAGTATCATATCAACTTCATTATTTTTCACATTCAAAACTAAATAATGCCCCCATATGTGATGAGATTGACTACAAGACCATATGATGCATAGTGGAAAATAGATACCTGTTTAAGCCTCTCTTTTGTCCACTCCGCCTGGAATTGGAAATATATGAAAATCCACTCATAAGTTCGGAGAATTGAATCACACAAATACACTCAAGCATGAAGACTCTAGATATGTAATAGATACTTAAATACCCAATAATTTAAAATGGATGACATCAATACCAGAAATCTAAGGATGTAACGTTGTATTACATTTACATAACAAAGGTATGAAAATCAACAAAAGGTTAAGAAAATCTTTTAGCATAGAATATACTACTAATTTACTAGCATTAGCCACCAAATACAGAAAACCTTTTACACTAACGGTCAGGATCATATATGGTCACTTTCGTGGGAGGAAGGAGGGGACACAATAGTTTAGATTTAAAAAGAATGATTCTTAAATTGTTATACAGCATGCTATGGCCCAGGCCATAAAAATTTGCTGCCTGACCACATGATATTACATCTCAAGTGAAGCTAAACAGCAAAAGAACCTAAAAGTTTATATTATTTGGCTCAAATCAGAGCATTCAAGCAACAGAAACCATGCAAGTTATATTCAACAAAAAAAAGTAATTAAGTAGTACTTTAAGGTCAATAACTTCATTTATCCTATCCTTATGTCTATTATCAGTTAAATAGGCAATCTTACCTTCCCAGCCACAAAAGATGATAGAAGAAAGTTGAAGCATTAATTTATCTCAGATCGCGGAAGATAATTACTGATTTTTATTTATTTATTTGTTTTGTTTAAGAAACCAAAATGATGTAAAAAATCTTTGTTCCACTTAATAGAAGAAATATAAAAAATCAGATGCACAAGAGCATCTGATAGTATTATCAATGATTCAATTTATAGTACAAACTTCATTTGCAGACCATAAGGTTTTCCTTTGAATATCATCATAAAAGCAAATTAACAAACACATTAATTGATAGACATGATATATAAGTTTAAATTTTATAAGAAATCAGTTGAATGATGGTATTTATTTGTTTAGCCATCATGAAGAAACTAAAATCAAGAAATAGAATAATTATCTCATAATAGTATTAGATAAATGAGAAGTGATTACTGTGTACTTGCAGTATATATGTACCGCTGAGCACACAAGGAAAGATGAAGTAAAGTTCCAAGAAAAGTTGTACAGCAATTTCTTAACTTTAACCAGATAACAAAGTGAAAAGTTATTAAGTATTGACTTCAACTATACAAAATGGAGCGAAGTGATTTAAAAATTATGACATGATTTAGAACTTCAAATACAAGGCAAAGATTACGAGAACGTAAGAGACTGAAATCCAACTCTCATTATTCTTGCTTCCAATTATTTCCACTTTTGGTACCAATACCAAGGGACATGCAAGCATATGTATACAAAATCTGCTTATAGTTACATGGCATGACACCAAAATGATAAAAGCACATTAAATGCTTTGAAAAGATGATGTTGAGGAGTTCCAAAATCAACACGTAAAGTTCTGTGAAACAACCAATGGTGAAGATATACATATTATGTATATGTACACCAGGAGCCTCGATTCACAAAGAGCCTGCTATCCTCATAGACAATAACAAAGGTAATACTTTGATGGGGTTGTAGGGGATCATGCCATGTGAAAACAGAGAAACTTGGGCTGTCGCAAGTTTTTAAAGGAAGCAGAAAACCAACAGCAAATCAAGGTGGATAAATAAAGATACCAACCAATCAAAGGCACCCAGAAAACTGTTAAAACTCAGAAGATATGAAACAATGAATTTTTAGACAAAAGAAGTCATTGTGATACAGTTTATTCTCCAAGTTACAAAAATTGTGGGTCACATGTTTAAGTTTAGTTAAATCAACTTCTACATTTGAACTACAAAAATTAGCAGTCAGAACTCAGCAATTCAAAAAAAGTCCTGTAAACTTATATTCATGGAGTATGTCAAGATCTTCATTTTTCAAAGTACAAACTAGAGGCAATTTTAATTACCTTCTCTTTCAAAAGCTGCTCATTCTCTTCCTGAAGTCTCACTGCCATTGACTCCAATTCCACTTGATAGGCCTAAATCAGGCACAAAATTAATCAGAAACAAGAAAAATTCCAAAATCCCGCTAACCAAAACTAAAAGAGAATGGAATTTCTTTTACCTGCTTTCTCTCTCTTGACCTTGCAGCTGACTCCCTATTCTTAATCATCCTCCTCTGCCTTTGTTGTGTCGCCTTATCCAACGGTTCTAACAAGCTCAAGCTCAAGCTCAAGCTCCTTGGCTTTTGCTGTGCCACCTTATCCAAAGGTTCCATCAAGCTCATGGTCCTCTTTCCTCTCCCTCTCCCTCTCCCTCTCCCGTTCCCAAAACCCCCAACATCCACTCCTATCTCTAACCCAGTCGCCATTCCCACCACAGGAGAATTTTCATGCCCATAAATCCCACCACTCATCATCTCCTCCTTCACCTCCACAGTCACTCCTGCCCCGGCACCACTGGCCTCACCCTCCACGGCCCCTGCCTTCACCAAAAAATCCTCCAGAGTCATCATCTCCTGCTTGGGCACCTGCTCGGTCTGCCTCTTCTTTCCAGCCACAATCTCCCTCCAGACATCATCAACCGTCTTCCTAATAGCACGAGGGGGCTCCACGTTCCCCACTTCGCAATCACTTATCGGAGTCACAGCTCCGGCAGCATCAAGCAACGTAATCTCCGCATTCAACAAAGTACTAGAACCTTCCCCCTCCGTAACCGGGTCAGAGTCCGAGCCCGTATCAGTATCCACATAAGAATTTCTCAAGAAATTAATCAACCTCGTAGAAGAACCCGAAGCACAACCAGAAAGTTTTCTCTTGAGATCTAAATTCCGCGACGGCACCAGCTTCGACGACGCCATTAATTAACAAAAAATATGACTATTAGTGGGATTTAATCAGAATCACCATCAGGTTGCCCCTATCCATTATTTTTTTTCTGGGTATGTGCGTGCGAGTATGACAAAGAGTGCGGTAATGATGACTGTGCGCGTCAGTGTGCTTGTGTTGACACTCAATCGAAATAGGCCTAGGGATTTGTATTTCTGGCGATTTTGTGATGAGGAGAGTGAGAGTAGTGGGAGAGATTTCGTTCTCTTTTGGAAGACAGTTCATACGTTTAAAAAAAAAAA